AAATATACCGTCCCGGCAAAATATTTGTACGTACATTTATACACACGGACCTAGTTTGTATCATCTTGGATGCATCATAAATAATTGTTGTAGAATTTTGCTCCGAGACCGTTGACAGACGTGTCACGACGGTACCTGACACTTTTTGTCCAAAACTGCGAGTGACTGCGAGACAGAGGTGAGATCATTGTCAGCTTTTAGCTCGTGCGGACTCGTGGGGGTTGGTGGAGTTAATTCGGGATGGAGCACGTCACCAGCAAACAACTCCCGGTGCAAATGGCATAGCGAAGCGGCGTGCGTAATACGCCTGATAATACATCAACCTGCGTTATATGCTGCGTAAGCACAGATGTTGATCCGTAGCAGCGGCGTAGCAGAGTTGGCATGGGCCCTGGTGCACGGAATAAAAAATAATGGGGCCACCTCTCAAATTTCCTCCCTTTTCATAATTCCAGTGCCCAGGCTTATTCTGAATGTGCAATGCTCCTTAGTTATATCAATTTGTTTAGCGAGGCAATTCTCGGTGAAATGTAAACTCCTTCTTCAGGAGGGGCCTACTTTGGATGTTTGCACCATTCCGCTAATGAGTTGCTGGGCGTCTGGGGAGAAAAATGATACCCATGGAAAACGCGCACTGAAATAGAGGAGCTATCGAACGCCACTACAGGGAAATCCGTACTCTTTGGTTCTTTCGGTAAAGTCACGTAGGTAGAAATAAAATAAAACAAATCACGACGTTTCGATCGCAACACAAGCAATCCTCATCAGGTGGAGAGAGCCAGTCTGAAACCAACTCCCGATACTGCCCAAGCCATCTATGCTTGGCAAGCAGACTGAACACTCTGACATAACCATAAAGACGGGAAAGGTTCACCCATAAATCTCCTTTACGCACTGCCAGAGTGTGGCTGGCATGAGCCCAGCCTGTCCAATGTCCCCCCCCCCCCTCCTCTTTGCAGCTTGGCGTTTGGGTCCCTCCAGCCCATGGCGGTCAACGCAGTTGCACCGCCTGCGTACTTGTTAGCTTCGCCAATTGTCCCGGATGTGCACTCAGTGGAATTAAATTGAGAGTCAGAAAGAGGAGCACATGGGTTGGAGCATTCTTGCAGGCCCAATGCACAAACTAATCTATCCAACGAAACTATTTCTATTTTACCAGGTCAGGCACACTGAGCTGTACAGCTCTATTTCAGAAACGACCTGGCCACAAATGATAGCCCAACGAAGTGGCTTATCACGTAGAAATGTATAGCAGCCAAATGCTGTAAACGCGTGCTGATTCTAAACGTGTAGGGGAAAAAAATCAGAGGACCCGGAGGAAATTCCACGCGACCAAACGGAGAACATGCAAACTCCAAATATACAACAGGCGTCAGGGTCAGGATCGAACTCACAACCTTCTGCATCCCAGGCGAGAGAGGTGACATCTTGCCACCGCGGCTCCCCGCAAGACGAGTGGGGGGCGTGCAGGGCACCGTCGCTAGAAGGTGCGGTGGGAGTTGGTCACAAATAAAAAATGAAGTGGCAGCCAATGAATGGAATGCGTCTGAGATGACACCCACCGAAGAGATGGAGCAACGAAGTCAGCCCGTGCGCTCGATGCAGCGTTACAATCGCGTGTTCGCGAGGTGACGGTGGCGGCTTGGCGAGATCATCATCCAGCAGTGGATGATGATTATTATTATTATAGGAATTATTATTATAGGATTATTATTATAGGAATTGGCTGCGACGCAGTTGAAATCATGGCGGGCGCGGCGGTGGGGGGGCAGAGACCAAACAAAGTACACTGACGTAAACATCGCTCGCCTCTCTGTGCTGAGTGTATACACAACTGCGCTGCGTCAGCGTATATCACAGCAAGTGCATTTGTCCGGCGAACAGAGCATGCGCTTATATAGAGATGGCCACGTACGAGCGAGCGACACGTCTGGTGGCGCGGAGAGAAAGTCCCCCCACCCTCTCCACCCCAAAGGGGATAGAGGTTTGTGCATTCGTAGGGTGAACTCCGGATTACTCAATGCACCGGGCAGAGTGTTTTGTCTTTGTGGGTTGCCTATCGGGTGCTGGCCACCCAACACCCCTCGTGTGCCGTGCCGGCCTTCATTAGGTGCGGGCTAGCTGCACTTGCTCCTACAGTCTGTTAAAGGCTACACGGGGAATCGTTGTCTGTGGGGAGCGGTGGCGTAGTGATTAGCGCACTGTACCGTTAACCGGATGGCCTAAGTTCGATTCCCATTCACGTCGAACATCGGTGACGAATTGCAGAACCAGTTGCCGAGTCTTCCCGAGGGTGACTCATCTTTAAAAACGAGAAACTGGTGCAGAATAGATATCACCACTGGGGAGACAAAGGCGGCTGGGTGCTGGGTACTGGCCACATCACCGTGCTGGCCTTCATAGGTGCTACTCGCTGACAGTACTTGCCCAAAATCCTATGTAGGCTTCACGGGGGATCTGTATCTTTATAGAATTCCTACTGTGTGTTATACCTAGTTTCCATGAACCACAAAACTCAAGATTAAAGCCGAGTTGCTGGTCCTGGCAGCGTATTTCCGAATATTTTGCCAACTCGAATTTTGCCAACTCGAATCTTTTTGCGGAGTCAGTTTTTCTTCCTGAGCTGACCTTAATTCCTCGTCAGAATTTGGGTTGCGCAGAAATGCATCGTTAAATGTGTCATAATTTAAAATAAATAAAAATAAAATGGTTGTAGCTGTGACCATTCCAGTTTACAATTTATAATTGATTTCTGGGTAAGGCCAAAAAATGTTCTGGCCAAATGTGTGCTCTCATACCACATCCACCACCCGGCATAGCCATAGGTGTGGATATCAGCGATGTTGGGGGTCAGGGATGGTCTTACGAGACACATGTGGACACCTCGTTGAGTAGCTCAAGCCAAAAATGAATAATTTGCTGCAAAAATCGACGTACTAATTTTTATTTCACATCTTATAATTACAATGTAATTGTCGGCTCAAGCAACTCGGAAGATCATGGGCATGTTGTCCCCAGAGCAGGTTGCCCCTTCTGCCTGCCTCGTTCGCTATGCGACTGTGAACAACTCACGCCGACTGGAGTGAAAACTCGAGTTGTAAATGCAAGCCATTAGCGGGCCTACATAGGAGCAGCTCAGTGACACCTTGGCAGATCCAAGGGGGGACGAATGGGGATGATAGCCCCCCCTCCCCCCCCCCCCCCACTTGAGACCCCACCATTGGTACGTTATTGATATTTACCAGAGAAAAAAAGAGTGCTTTTATTTGTATTACTGTAGGGATCGAATGAAAAACCGTGGGATTTCAACAAACACGGTCACCGCATCGCTCGCTTTCAGCTGCGCTCTGTGGCCGTCTGGAAACGCTCTTCCTTCCGAGCTGTGCACTTTTAAATCTAAATTGAAAATGCATAACTTTAGAACTGTTTTTGGTGTTTGGTTTGTTGACCCTCCCCCGCATCTCCAATTAGCACGGTTGGCTACGTACGGTGCGAAAGAAGTGAAGCATACATACATACGTACATACGTCTCTGCAATGGGGCTTTGTGTTCAGCTGCAAAAGCTGTGGGTGGGTGAGAGCGGTGAATGTTGTGGTGTATGAATAGCAGGGAGCGGTAGTGTAGCGGTTAACGCGCTGCGCTACGAACCCGGCGACCCGAGTTTTGATTCCCTACTCACGGCGATTATCTGAACCGGTTCTGGACCTCGCCTAGGTCGACTCAGCCTCAAATGATTACCTATTGCGGTGTGAAAACATCGCCACGAGAGAGGCAAAGGCGACCGCGCGTGGTGCTGGCCACCCACCCCCTCGTGTGCCGTGCCGTGCCGCAGCACTTGCCCCAACCGTCTGTTAAGACTATACGTGGGATCTTTGTCTTTGGTGTATGAATATGTACGTGTGCCGCTGATATGGGTGGGGAGTTGAGTGTGTGTTTAGTGTGTGTGCCTGTGTGTGTGTGTGTGCCTGTGTGTGTGTGCCTGTGTGTGTGTGTATGCCTGTGTGTGTGTGTGTGCCTGTGTGTGTGTGTGTGTGCCTGCGTGTGCCTGTGTGTGTGCCTGTGTGTGTGTGTGTGCCTGTGTGTGTGTGCCTGTGTGTGTGTGCCTGTGTGTGTGTGCCTGTGTGTGTGTGCCTGTGTGTGTGTGCCTGTGTGTGTGTGCCTGTGTGTGTGTGTGTGCCTGTGTGTGTGTGCCTGTGTGTGTGTGCCTGTGTGTGTGCCTGTGTGTGTGTGTGCCTGTGTGTGCCTGTGTGTGTGTGCCTGTGTGTGTGTGTCTGTGTGGTTTGCATGTGCGCACGTTGAAGAATGCGCGTGTGTTAGGACTGTGTACAATGACAGCGGAAGGTGAATGCAAGTGTGTTGTGTGTGTGATGGTAGTGGAGTGTATGTGATGGTCGAGGTGTGTGTGTGTTGTGTGTGTGATGGTAGAGGAGTGTGTGTGTTGTGTGTGTGTGTGATGGTCAAGGAGTGTGTGTTGTGTGTGTGATGGTAGTGGAGTGTATGTGATGGTCGAGGTGTGTGTTGTGTGTGTGTGTGTGCAATGGACGAGGTAGGTTTGTGGTGTGCACGGTATGTTGAGCACGTGTTTGCGCAGTGCGAGTCACATGCGCGCGACGGGTGCACACGTGTGTGCGTGTGTGTGAGTCACGGAAGGGGGGCACATTTTTGCTATGTATGACACTAGGGGGGGGTGACTGTATAACGGCAGGAGTGGTGTATGTGTGCGTGTGTGTGTAACATTGGGGTGGATGTGTGCGTGTGTGTGCATGTGTAACGGTAAGGGTGGGTGGGTGTAACGGTGGGTAGGGGTGGGTGGGTGGGTGTAACGGTGGGTAGGGGTGGGTGGGTGTGTGTTTGTAACGGTAGGGGTGGGTGGGTGGGTGTAGCGGTGGGTAGGGGTGGGTGGGTGTAACGGTAGGGGTGGGTGGGTGGGTGGGTGTGTGTAACGGTAGGGGTGGGTGGGTGGGTGTAACGCGAGGGGGTGGGTCGGTGTCTCTGCGCTTGCATAAGTCGCGTTCCAAAACTGCTACACCGCGGTGGCGGGCATCACGAATTCTCGCGTGGAGGCTCCACAAACCGGGAGCCGCGGAGTGCGAGGAAACCAGTGGAGAGGCAGCAGCAGCAGCGAGCCCAGAGAAGAATCGAGCCCAGAGCAACATCGAGCCCAGAGCAACATCGAGCCCAGAGAAGCATCGAGCCCAGAGCAACATCCATCCCAACGCCACCGTGAGGATTCCAGCCCCACGTCCTCCTCCTCCTCCTCACCTCTTCCTCACCTCCTCTTCCTCACCAGTCTCGGGGGCTCATCGCTCCACCGGCTCTCGCACGAGCGCGAGGCTCACCGCACCCACAGCACAACACGGAGGAGGAGTTCGCATTAAAAAGGGAGCTTGGAGATTGTTCATGGGGGTTTTTTTTCCTCCCCATCCAGAAATAACGAGATTTATTTAGGTTTAGAAATATCATCCACCCGTACGTAGTGCAGGTGTATCGATCAAACATCAAGATTACTGCAATTTTTTCTATTTGTTTTCTTACGACTCCAAAAAAGGACTTTGGTGTGTCTTCACGTTCTGGTGCCATCACCTCGTGAGCCACCAACCCCCGCCGCCCGCCCCCACGCCTCCGGTTCAACAATTTGGATCGTACCAAAGCCTGCGCGTGGGCATCGACACAACGCCGGCAGCTCGGAGGTCGCCGACGACCAAACGGCCGCCTCAGTCGTCCTTGTGTCCTCGAGCGGAGGGATGCTAAGATGTCCACGAACGCGTCCCTGATTCGAATTCCCTTCTCGGACCTTGAGATCGGAGAGCTGTGTGGCGGCGGCAGCTATGGCACGGTGTACCGAGCCATCTGGGTGCCGCAGGACAAAGAAGTGGCCGTCAAGAAACTTCTCAAGTTTGACCGGGAGGTGAGTTTACACGAGAGCGCGCACACACACACGTGTCTGTGTGTGTGTGTGCGTCACCGCACACGCCGTGCAAGTAACTTCGTGCGCGCGCGTTGGATCTCCATTGCTGCCAACCCCTTATCAGCGCCCTACCTTAGTACAGACCAATTCAGACCTTGTGGGTTACCCCGTGGCCCTTACAAATCTCAACGTTCATCCTACAAAGTCCCATCACAAGGGAGAAACACAAATAAATAAACAAAAATTATGTTACGAAACTAAAATTTGTTTTGCCCGTATTGAAACGGCTGTACGCCGTATGGACCTGAAAACTCAATTTCCCTGGACAAGAATACTGGGTGAACCGTGTGGGTTGACGGCTATGGATCTCCATTGGAACCTCATTTGGCAGTAAAAAATATGATAATTGTTTTTTGACCCTTCTATCTGGCAACAAAACTGACACCTTTTTTACAAGGAGTCATGTTTGCATAGACCACAATACCTGCAGTCATAATGCAAACAAAAAACATAACTCTGATAATGTATGCACTGTCCTTGAAGTTGATTGGTCCACACCCGAGACAGCTTTCCTTAGAGCCTAGTCTCACATGGGTTGGACCAGATGACGCCAAAAGGCGCACAACTCAAAGACAATGCACCATCAGAGTATGAGAGCTCGGGGTAAGCATTTACACCATTGGAACCTCATATGCCAGTAAAAAATATGATAATTGGTTTTTTACCCTTCTATCTGTCCCATCTGTAACGTGACGGGAAGGTGATCCATTGTGTACACACCTTGAGTAACCGCTTGGGTGGCTACCAGAGCCGTACTCTACTCTTGAAAATCGGTGAAAGTGATCAAAGGGTTGCACAAAATTTGAGACAAGCCAGAGCAGCAACAGCAACAAAAGACTTTGCAGACGTGTTAAAGCTTTTCCCTGACAGCTGCCCCATTCGCTTCCATACTGCTTAGAAAGTTATCCAATCCAGGCACATGCATGCTCTCTCAAAACCTTAGTTTTGCAGGAGATGGCAGTGGGCATACGACGAACTCAGCCACTGTTGTTTAGTCGCGAAGGTACACATCGTGTCACACAATTGAAAGCGACGTGATGATGAATGTTATTTTGACTGTCCGTTAGTCAGTCACGCCACTCCAGTAATTTTGGCCGCACAGACTCGAGTCAAGACTCATCGCTAAACAGACGGAACCTGGGACCGATTGGTGTTGATGATGACCTATGTATGGCTTGTGACCTTTGACCTCGGTTAAAAACCGAGAGTTTTTCATCTTGCTAAATTTATGGGGTTCTCGAACTCTCTTTACGTTCTCCCCATTCCTCTGATGTGCCGAGTTGCGAGCTAGGAATAGATTTGGCAAATTCTGGCTGACAGAGGAACACAAGGGGGACATGGAGTCTATAGGGAATTGAAATCATGACATTTCATGGCATGTTCAAGTTTATATGCAAGATTCCTTATCCAAGCATCATTAAAAGAGTTCATCGAAATTGCACTCGGGTCGCATTAACACCCTACACGTTTCGAATTGTGAAATGTATGAATGTTCAAACTGAATATGCAGTTTCTTCAAATTTCTGTTGAAGTCTTTTGGTATCAATGTTATGAACAAACAAAAATAAAATCAGTGTTGTGGTTCTATCATCAACGTTGAATCACAGAAGGAGCATTTATAAAGAGATGACCAGACAAATTACCCCTCTGTATATCTGCTCCATTGACCCAGATGTTCCACATTGCCCACGAATTACATCGTCAGCCCTTCATCAATCTACTGCTGGATGAAGGCCCTCTCTACACCATGTTGGTCATGACCGAATTTCACCACGCAAGTCGAGATACAGATTTCCCGAACTGACGCGCAGGCTGACTGAAGGAGAAGGTTCAGATATAAAACACGTCACTGATGCTAGCCATGGCCGGGACTTAAACTCGTGTCGCCTCCATGGGCTGCGCGATATTTGTGGCGAGCCCTTGTCTCTAGCATCCGGCGATCGGCAGCAGGCCGGAAACTGCTGATGAGATTCAACAAAGTCACAAATCAGCCGACGGTTTGCCCGCTTAAATAAATGCTGCTGTAAAACATTTGATCCGGAAGACCCTTTGGCTGTTGAACATGAATGTTCTTTTATTTCACGTGGTGAAATGGATGTTTGGAAAACATGTTTATCTAACTACACTTTCATTATCGGATTATCATGGGTTTTTTTCCGGCCATGTGAAAAATCAATTTTGCTGTGATAAAATGCGCGAGAAGCAGTTATTCGTGTCCAAACCACATCCGCCATCGTCAGCAACACCCAAGAGAGATGACAAGAACCGATCTCAATTTTTAGGTCAACCGTCTCTACAAAGCCACGCGCGCATCGAACGGTTCAGCGTCTCTTTCCCCTTGCAAAAAACGAAGTGGTGATCGTCTTCTTGGGATCTGGTGTGAATGTCAGCGAAAGTCAATCATTCATTTAAAAGATATCGAAATGCGTATAAATTGTCTTTCTAATATATACACAACAACATGTAGAAGTGATTGGAAAGAAACTTGATCACAGGATCAGGATAGAAACTTGGGAGGTTTGGAATAAACCCAGGACGTGTGCAGGATGTAAGAGGGCAAGTTCTCACATGGCAGTAGATTTGTCGACTACTTCTATGTGGGAATGTGACAGTCACGCAGTGGTTAGCACAGTGCACTGCAAAGTCGACAAGATTAAAGTCTCAATCATGGAACTTCCTTCTGAAGCACCCACCATGCTTCCAAGTCACCGATTTGAAATACTGTACTGTAAATGATTTCGAAATACAGTCACCAAAAAAATTATTTTGAAATTAAGCCATATTAATAACAAGTTAACCGTGTCTGGTGCTCATACGTAATGCGCAGATGCAGATTTTTGTGCACGCATTTGATTCGTGTTAACGTTATGTCATCACTGTGGCCTTGCGTCAGATTGCTCAGATGAGGAGCTAACAATTCCAGCGCCGCCGTGCGGCTGCATGATCAAGCATTACAATGGCGAGATGTTAACTACCTCGCCCGGTATACAGGAGGTCACGGGTTGCATCCTGACCCCGATGCCTGTATATTTAGAGTTTGCATGGCTCTCCCCCCCCCCCCCCGTGGTTGCGTGGATTTTTCACCGGGTCCTCCAGTTTTCCCCTCCACATTTAGAAATGTGCATTCGGAGTATTTAGCTGCTATACATTTCCACGTGATAAGCCACTTCGTTGAGCTATCATTTGTGGCCAGGTGGCTTCTGAAAAAGAGCTGCATAGCTCAGTGGGCCTTGCCTGGTAAAGTAAAAATTGTAATTACCAAAAAAGTCACCCACTGCAAATACGTGGACGTGAAAGACACTGGAAGGGCATGCATCAACAACAGCCTGCGATCGTACGCCAGCGCCCTGCACACACATTTTGCCCATTTTCCATGAACGTCAGTTTATAATTAATTAAATAACCTTCGCTCCAAGAGGCCGATGAGCGGTGGGCTAGCAGTACACGTGCTTATAATTAAAATACCTGATTTGCTCCTTCAAAATCAAACAGCTTTTCCCATAAAAGGCATGCCTTTTTTTTTGTCCCACCGGTTTTCTTTTTTTTAAAGCCGGCCCCGCACTCTCCTGAATGATTACGACTGTAGGCCAAGTTCCGCTCGTCAACGCGGTGCACGGACGCTTGTGGTTCCCTGTGCCGATTGGCAGGCGTGCGAACACGTAACATCCTGGTAATCCGTGCAAAAGGGCTTGTTGGCTCATCGCATTCCTCCGGCATAAATGAATATTTTGATTATGATTCTGAGCAAGGCTCGCTCTTGCTACTAGGTTTAGGCCAAGGAGAATTGTCATCATAAAAAAGGCATTGCAGAGATCCCATTAAAAATAGGGTTGTGTGTGAGTGCACAGGAAAATCTTACTGGGCCTCATATACACTTTCAAAGTTCCCATGGATTCCTGTAATGTTTGTTTATAATCCGATGGGAACGAGTAGTTTTTTTTCTGTTAAATTCGTAGGCCAATTTTAAATGTGGATGTAGTCCAGTGTACAGAGAGTGGAGTCAGGGATTCAACATCATCACCATCATCAGCACTATCATCCTCTGGTGTCAGCATCAGCTGCTCTAATTGGTGAATAACCTGGGACCCGTCATTGGAATGTGGAATTTCTACCACAGGCTATGGACTTCCAATGGATATCACTGCAACCAGGCGTTTAATAAAAATTTGGCACATTGGCTTTTATTTTCAAAGGTGGAAAACTTAAGGAATCCCTCTGTGTGTATGCACATACACGTACAATTGTGCTTGTGTGTTATCAATGTGTATCTAGATTTTGGGGAGCGATAGTGTAGGGGTTAGCGCACTGCACTACGAACCCAGCGACCAGAATTCGATTCCCGCTCATGGCCAACACCATTAACAATTATTTCAACCAGTCCTGGGCCTCCCCTAGGTCGGCTCAGCCTCAAATGAGTATATGGTGCGATGTGTAAACATTGTCACTGCGGAGACAAAGGTGGCCAGGCGAGGTGCTGGCCACCCACCCCCTCATGTGCTTTGCCTGCCTTTATTGGGTGCTCGCCAACAGCATTTGTCCCAACAGTCTGTTAAGGCTAAATGTGGTATTTTTGTCTTTGTGTATATATTTACGTGGGAAGAGGTGCCACGGAAGCTAGCCGATTGCACTTCGAACTCTGCGATCTGAGTTCAATTCCTGGCCATTTCTAACAACAGTGGCGAGTGACATCTGAACAGCGACAGGTGCCGCCCATCCATGAACCTGCACTGTCCAGCGTGGTGAAGCATGGTCCCACCAACCCCCACGATCCACAGCCTGGGGATACCTTCATCCAGCAGTGGATTAACAACGAGCCGTAAAGTACTCACACAAACTGCCTATAACGCAGGCCGGCCTGAAGGTTCTTCACATGATCGGTGACCACACGTGACGTGTCTCCCTCCAGGCAGAGATCTTGAGCGTCCTCAGCCACCGGAACATCATCCAGTTCTTTGGAGCCGTCACCGAATCTCCCAACTACTGCATCATCACAGGTACGCAGCACCTCGCCTAACCAGCTCAGTGGCCTCTGCGCGTTTTCAATTTCATGACCACGGATGCTGAGCAAGTGGCGGAGCATGGCCACCTCGCCACGCTCTCGCCCACCCCTCCCCCTTCCTTGAGACCCAGAACATTGTTACTTTGTTGATATTTACCAAAGACAATACATTGCATGTTTGTTTCATTATTGTTGTTAGTACAGGGCCCTATCTGAAGAGCTTTCAATTTCAGGACCCTCCCCCCCTCCTGTTCTGCTGCCACTGTGCCAAGCACAGGGCCCAAAAGCCTGAAATGTCACGTGGCCAGCTAAAAACAGCACTATTGAAGGTGGAACAGATGAGAGTAAATACGCTTATTAAGTCGAGCAAGGTTATAAGCAAAAACAATTATGGTGATGTGCGGGGGGGGAGATTTTTTAAGTGGAGCGGTGCGAGAAAAGAAGCAGAAATAAAAGTGCGGTGACCTGCAGTGTGATGGATGCACACAGAATCTCTCTCTTTATTTAGACTCCATGAACCCCATGAGGTGTGAAGCTTCTTTTCACAGATGTCCAGTGTGACACAGGGTGCATGAGACGAAGCAGTGAGTCTGGTTAAGATGAGTACATGAGTACGCAACCCGCGTGGAGGATCGAGGAGTGAAGCTCACGCGAACGGCAGCCACGGTAGAAGTGGTAGAAGAGTGATAAGAAGGCACACTGATCGCCAGAGAGCGAGTGACGGGATCGTCGTTCAACCGGACTGCTTTATCTTCTTGGTTCTTTCGGTAAAGTCACGTAGAATGGAAATAATAAAATAATAAAAATAAAACATAATAAAATAATATCTACGTGACTTTACCGAAAGAACCAAGAAGATGAATCCCTGCAGTCACGAAAGCTTTAAATCGAAATCGGACTGCTTTAATTTGATTCTATCAGCTACAGTGATGTTGGAACTGGGACACTCCACCCCAGATATGGCATCAAGTAACACAAAAATGGGACACGGGGCCTCCGTTTAATGAACTTGTTCCGTCTGTGCGGTTTGAATCCCCAGTGGTGAGCGCATTACGAGCAGCTGCTTGCTGCTCACGTTACCGTCCCTATCGCAGAGCGACACAGCGAACAGAAATTAGTGTCAGCGTTGCCGTTCATCCTCGGTAAACAAATGTGTCGCGTTTTGGAAAATATCTTTTCGACCATTGATGAGCGAGTGTCAGTGGTGGGAAGGAAATGCACGTGACCACGTAACTCCTGTATCAGCACGAGATAACAAGAAGAGTAATGATGCCCTCTAATTAGCCAGGATAATCTCACTTTGACTCTCACGAGACTTTTTCTGGAGCTTTCTGCGTAGGGATTTTCGGCCAATTCGTTCATGCGTATGTGGACACTGGAGCACCCAGAGAGAAAAAAAATCTACGTACGATGGGATAATACTTAAAGCAGCGCACAGATGGATTCAAGAGTCCAGTGCTGAATTGTCATCTCCCAACCACCTCACGGCCCAAGCCTACAACACCTGGTCTCCCATCAAATTACTAAACCAGGTTCAACCCCTACTCAGCTTCTGATATCTGATGAGATCATTCATAGGGGGTGTTTTCATTTCAAATGGACCTATATCGCACTGAGCGCCGGGAAAATATTACCAAACCTGGCATAGCGTAACTCCATTACATCTCGGTCATTCAGTAAACCTTTCTCGCTACGAGGGCCTGCGGTCACTCGTGTTGCCACCTCCCGGTCTACCAGCAACCCAGAAAATATTTGGTGAGAAATGAATCCCTGGCCATAGGCTACCGACCCAGTTGGACAAACTACTAATACTTGAAGTTGTCATACAAGTACAAAAACAAAGTCACAAACTGATTGTGCAGCGCCACCCTTAGCACGCCGCCTCCTCCTCCTCTGCACGTGGTGTTGTTTGGCGACTGGGACGTGTGGAATTTACTTTTTGTATTTTTAAGTCGCCCTCTCGAGCCACGCGATCGCCAAACCCAAACTCCACGTCCCCCCACGCGCTTCTCAAGTGACTCCGCGCAGACTGCAGCAGTCGTCTCTGACTGCCTGTCGCGAGACGCCGGCCTGGAGACACTGGTTTACGTTATCAGGCGATGCAATGTGTGTGGTTTTTTTTGCGGTTGAGCCAACTATGGACTTGATAATTTAACGATGATACTGATAATATTATAAACTTTTTTTTTGTTATTTCTCGCAAAAGGTCGTAACCATTTCCTTTTTCACGAGGGTCTTCGCTTGCAATGGTTCTGTTGTTCCCCCCCCCCTCCCCCCAATTAATTTTGACCTGCGACCAAAGTGCAACAGTATTCACCAAGTCGACAGATCCTATAAGCCAAGCAGGTTTAAGCCTGATTACAAGCTGGCTGGTAGACCGCGTGAGATACTGCGCCCAGCTGTCAGGGGACTGCCAAGTCTTCAAGAGATGGCAGCACAGCAATGCATTCCGAGATTCGTCTGTTGCGGAGCTTTTACTCTAGCCGTATGCACGGCGCGTTTGGAAGTGGTCAAACATCTCCAGTGGTCAGACATCTCCATGACGGAGCCTGCTTGCAAAAGGGTAAATTAAAGGACATCATCAGCATCGTTAATTATCGTTGCAAACAGGGACAAGAGTGCACACAGGCTAGAGAGATACTTTCTGTACCGCTTATTTACTTGTGCTGCATGTGTGCAGAGGTGTCCCCAGGGTGGAGGCAGAAGGAGATTGGTTCCCCCTTATTGTCAAATAAAAATGTGCGAATTACTCTACGGTTGGACTCTCGAAAACAATGAACGCACGTCCGTCGCTTAAATAAAAAAACAATAAAAACAGATTAAAGCTTACTTCTGACCTAATACCGATCCCTTCCAAGATGTTTGGCCAACGTGGAAGAGTAGACCAAATACCCTCTGTGCTGGATCTCCCTTGAGCTCGCTCGATTGGAGGCCCTTCTGGCCAGCAGTGGCATGAGCGAGTCATCAACAGAGCTGCAACACCTTTACCATCCACCTCGTAAGCTTGAGAATGGAGGCAGCTTGTTTCCAGACGTGTCTATCTGGCCACGGTGCGTGCCACACACGATGGCTCTCGGTCTCTGCGCCCAGCCACGGAACGCTGCGTCCAAGACGGCCGCCACTTACCAGGCGTGCACCACCACCGCCACCACCGCCACCACCGCCACCACCGCCACCGCGCCTGGCACAACACGCAGTTTTCATCCAGAATTAGCTCGCACATGAAGCAGGCTATGAATACACCATGGAGCGGACGGCATTGTCTCTCCCTGTGGGACTTGAGTTTTGTGGGTCCCACTCAGACCATGCCGAGGAGATGCCCCGCTGGGTCGTGTCTGACATAAACAAGGGGTCCCAGCCTCATCAGGCTGTTGGAGAAAGTGCCGTTAGCGAGCACCAACGGAGGCCGACATGATGCATGAGAGGCGAGAGTGGCCAGCACCATACCCAACCGCATGAGTCTCCCCACTGCAACAAGTCTTGTTTTATGGCTAAGTCGACCTAGAGGAGGCCCAAGACCGGTTTAGATTTTGGCCGCTTATGTTGGTCGTGAGCGGGAATCAAAAGTCACGGGGGTTCACAGCACAGCGCGTTAACCCCCAATGAACACGGCTGGCTACGTAAAGTTTCGAAAGAAGTTCAACATACATAACCGCTACACCACCGCCTCTGCACAGTCACTGCGCACGCACACGCGCACGCGCATAACTTAACCTTTCACCTGTAAAATTTTGGCGTTTGCCGTGGAAGTATTTCATTGACGCTGGTGCATTCGCCCTCTCACTTTGCGATGGGCAGGCGGGCGGGCGGGCGGTGGTAACCCGGTCGCACACACAGACAGACAAATGGAAAAGAAGGGCTCTTATTTATGTGCCGAGCGTAAAAAGAAAATGTCTCTATCTGCATGGCTGGAATTTTGTTGCTCGTGGCACAGCTGTTAGTGGGGGGAATAACGTGACATTTATGGAAAGAGGTGGACCATTTTTGGACAAAGTTTGAAAATTCGCGGTGGCGTCTTTATGTTTCCGCGCGCGCCGTGGAGGACAGGGGGACGTTTCAAAGGGTTTTGATCCAAAACCAGCAGCTCCGATTGTGATTGAATCTCCGTCGTTGTTTTATTCCCTTTCTGGTTATAAAATTCCTCCTTTTATACTCACCAAACCGTTTGCTAAAGGGCCCTTGACTCATGGCCAGGCGTGTGCAGCGGTGACCCTACCGCCCACCCCCCCCCCCCCCCCTCAATAGGTCCTTCCGGGCCTTAATAGGTGCTCGATAACACAGCAGCAATTGTCCCAACCTCTAAGTCGGGGGGGGGGGTGCATCTTTGCGAGTGTTTGAGAGTATCTCACGGTACCGCAACTGCTGGATGTGACACCGACTCGAGGCATGCGTATCCACGTCGGCGTGGTCGTGCCGCCCACGTTCTCGGCGACGGTCACCGTGAAGCGATCTGGAATATTCCAGCGCCCCCCCCCCCCCACCACCACCAACTCCCCACCGCGACGCCGCTTTGGTGACCTGCCACGCAATTCAGCGCAACCGTAAACCCTTTGGAGCGCCGATTAAAAATACACGCGTGCACTTTCGGTGTCGAAAAGGCGACACGCGGGGGGGGGGGGGGGGGGGGTGCTGCTTTCAGGCCCTCACAACCTCCAGCGTGCTCACGGCGTCTCCGTGAACTAACGTACGTGAAACATCTTTCACACCGTACGTAGCCAATCACACTAATCGGTGGTGCAGGGGAAGGACAACAAACTAAACACAAAATTCAGGTTTTAATCTAGATCTAAAAGTGCACAGCTCCAGTATCTTCCTGATATCGGAAGGAAGAGCGTTCCAGACGGCCGCGGAAGCGCATCTGGTAAAGCGCGCGATGCGGGGACCGCCGTCTTTGTTCGATGGCTATCCAAAAGCCTCTGCTGCGAGGATGACGCAGTTAGCGTGATGATGGTTTATGCTCCTTGATGAGATCGGCGAGGTATCGTGGTTCGTTTG